CCCCAAAACCCCAAAACCCCAAAACCCCGAGATATCACATTAATATTGAATATATTGATAATTTTTAGCACCATTAAAAGGAAGTACTATTTCTTTCTATCTTTCTTAATACTTATCATTTTCATTATTTTTTCAAATTCTATTTCATTTCTATGCTCTTTAAGATACTCACCACTTGAAGAGGAGGAACTAAGAGTTAGAGATAAACCTTACAGCTTGGTTATACTATACCCTCAGAGGTACTTAACCAAATCTATTGCAAAGCTGGGAACAAGAGAGTTGAAACTAATCGAGTTAAACTCACTTGGAGAGATCTTCTCATTCAGTTCTTTAGCTTCTCAGTAACTGAATAGAAGATCGTTCTTGTTCAGGTTCTTACTGTTTCTATTTGCAAGAGGATTTAAGTTCAGTTTCAACGAAACTTCATTCTGTTTAGGCTTCTTTCGAGCGCTCTGCTTGATTGATCGAGGATAAAAAGCATATTCTGTTCTGTCACTTGGCTTTTTCGCTACAGGATTATATACAAAATTACCAATAGGAGAGAACTTCATTGAGCAAAATTGGAGAAAATTTGAAGAAGACTCGTCCTTTTCATTTTGATTCCAGTTTAGAAGAGTATCCGTGCAAGTAGTATTTATAGCATGGATCTTGCTTAAAGGTTTTCGATAACCATGATTTGGTTCCTCAAAAGTTGCCTTTTTGATTTTATTTATCGAAAATACAGCGGATTATCTTCAAAAAGTCCTCCATCAGCACAGAGATGAAAATCTCCGTGGGGAGTTCTCTCATGGTTTGGTAGAGATCTATCTCGCTGATGTACCCATCGTTGTTGTAATCAAATGCTTCGAAGCAAATTTTGTACAACATTTCGTTGCTTTGGAAGATCAAGACCTCCATTATATTGACAAAGTCATAGTAAGACCATGCCTTTGTGAAGTCAAAAAAGTTTATCAGCCTTTCAGCAATGTAAGTTGTATAACGTTTGGCTATGAAGTTCTTGAAATCTGATTTCTTTATCCGAATGTTCTTCACTAGAGTGTAAGATATGTCGACTAGAGGCTCAACAGTTGGAGGTATTAAAGAAGTCTCCTTTGAGCATGTGCTAATCTATTGTTGAGGACATAACTCACTGAATGGAATATTCTGAACAGCTCCTGAGAGTCTTTGTCTAGCTGCTTTTTGTATTCCTTTGGTAGATTAATCATTGGAGAAATAATCGTGAGATTGGCAAGCTTCACGCTGGTAGTTCTATGGATGCTTGATACATAATGCTTACTCGCAGTTTATTGAAGATTCTCCTTTTGAGTCTTCCATCTTAGATGCACATAGGGAATCTAAGGTATTCTTCATCACAGGATCTTTATTTCTGCATCAAATCAGGTAAATATAATGACTCATTGCTATAATTTATTTATAAAAATCATACCTCTTCTTCAGTTGAGGGTTAAAATTTAGTTGAGTTTCATCAGGAATCTTTCTAGTCAGAGAGCTACATGAAAATTTGAGGAAAGATTACGTTGGAGCTTGTGCTTGGTTATTCCTATTTCCTCTGAAAAGGATTTTATCTAGGCCATCAATATTCTTTGAGCTATGAGTTTTACTAGGAAATCTGTAATTTTGTATCTCTTTCTTCATCAGTACTGTTTCTCTTTCCTTCCTTGGGCTCCAAAAAGTGTTCTGGCTGGTCAGTACCTAATCAAGATTATAATTTAAATAAATTACAGTTTTATTATTATTCCGAGTAGATGGAAACTTGGAGTTTACGCCAGATGCATCTCTCATGCTTCAGTTTTTTAGCTTTGTTCCTCTGATATTTCTCTTTAGTTTATTATTTCAACAAACAACTTTATGCTTATTTATCTGTGTTTTTGGAACTACAGTAAAGTAATTTTGGGTTGATAAGTTTTGAATATCCCTCAAATCATCAGGAAATAAGTTATTCAGGTCTTACTCTGGTTGAAATTATATATCTCTTCAAAATTTGGGTTTTTGGTACGAAAATTAAAGGAATTTCTATATGATATCATAAGCTTAGCTCACTCTGGTCTAATCTTTTTATTCATATCTTTGACTTTTCTCCTTGCATTCTTAAGGATCATATTAGGACTATTGTGATTCATTTTATATATATTCAATAAAGATTCAAAAATTGGGGTTTTGGGGTTTTGGGGTTTTGGGG